CAGGAAAGAAAGCCAGTTTACCTCCCTGCTGGGGAAATTTTAATGTGTACTACTGTTTTAGTAAGCACGTTTGATTACTGTAGATGCTGGTAGCTGTCTGTAGTACAATGCCCCCAGTGATCAAGTCCCTTAGTGTCCCAAATTGAGGCATATGAATATCTAACAGAAGCTTCCTGAAAGATTTCATTGAGGAGTTATCTTCAAAAGCTAGCTCAGAGCACTAAGTACATGATGTTCTAGAAAGTACTTGTTTTCAAAAATGGTACAGTCCTGGGAAAGACGGGTTGAGAGGGACTACCTAAAACTTCCCTTGGCCCAGTCCAGGATCAGTCACAGCCTTGTGGGTTCTGATAGATTTCTTTTCCCTGTTGTTGTGGACCTTTCATGAAGCTGGTAGCACAGCAGCCTCAGGTAACCAGTTCTGGAGCTTGGGCTCTCGTTTTTCCTCACGTCTGACTTGAACCTATCTTACTGCAGATTACCAGGTCTTGTCCCAGTCAGGATGTGAGCTGGTCTCTTCTATGCAGAAGATTTTTATGAGTTTGAAGCACTGAACCATAACACCTCGCTAGTTCTCTCTTCCTCTGTAAACATTTTGCATTATATGTTATGTTTTAAACTATATTACACTTGAACTCAGTCAGAACTGGATCCTACCTCCCAGCTGATGTCTTACCAGGGTACTTCATGTATCTTGCAGGCTAGGCACCTCTTTCTATGTGGAATTTATATTCCTTGCAAAAGAATGCTTCTGTGATTCCCAATACCTTCTTCAGCTAGGATCACTAAAAACTGAAGGTACCTCTCCCCAGTTTCAGTGTAAGTAGTGGAACCAAACTTCTTCATGCAGCTTTAATTTGACTTTTGTTCTTAGCGTTTTTGTAAATAAGAAATTGTTTCTTTACAGATAGTCATGCGAGTTCTCTTCAACTAATTTTGTAATCATAACAAATGAGTAACAGTGAAAAGTATGCCTATTGTTACAAAGAAGATCATTTTTGTTTCACGAAATGATGCCTATCATTAACTAACCTTGTTCTGCTGCAGAAATTCTTATTTCCGCAACAAAAATTATCTCTGGAAAAATTAGATACCATCAGAAAAAGGCAAATATTTACATAAGTCCAAAATATGTGCTAAACTGATAAATGATGTAGCACATCAGTATAGTAGAGAGATTTGTAATGACCCATAAATCTACTGCCAAAACAAATAGCAAATGTACCCCCCCTCTTCTATATTATTTAACGTACAGCTTTATACTGATATAGAAGTGCGGTTCCCTACATTTACTTAAACAAGGAAACTTTGAAATGAAAAATATTTGTAACACACTTTTTTGGTTTGGTGTTGTGTGTGTGAGAAATATTTTACATAAGAAACTACCAGCAATTATACTCAGTAGGTATCAAATAATGTTTCATATTATTTTAATTAATATTATATTTCCTATATTTAATCTCAGTTTGTTAATTCTCGTCAAGAAAACAGGTTTAAAGATGAGTTACATAAAAGCTAACTCTGTAAAGTGTATTGCTTTTAGGAACAGCTCTGAAGAGCAGTGGCTTTCAGGGTGTGACCCTAATTCATAGTAACTGCCCTGCAATTTTTCTATCCTACCTCTTGGCATGTCTACAGCTCTGGGTGCATGTTTTTCACTATGTCATCTTTGATCTAATGTATTGTTATGAGCTGTTGTAATTCTTTTTAGAATTTATCAGATTATTTTTTAATGAAAGAGGAAAAGCTGGAGAATATGACTTTCCAGGAAATGCCTATCAGAATCTAATTTGACTTAATTTGTGAATCTTCTTTGGAAATTCTTTTTAATGCTTCTTATTTTTCTAGTTTGAGTGCAAGAGTGTAAGGAAAACACAAATGTGAGCATACCTGATGGCTCAAGTTCAGCACTAATGGAAGTGTATGGAAGGCCAATGTTAATGAGGTTTCAGAGATTCTTTTAGTTTTGTAGTTATACCACTGCTATTCTTAAAAGAATAGTCAAATAATGTTTAATTTATTTTTTTTAAAGTAACCTATTCTTTCCTACCACCATATCCACTAATTAAGGAAAACCATGCTTAAATTTATTTTTACTTTTAATAAACGTTTACAACACATGCCAAGAAAAAATTCTTCTCTACAGATGTTGTCAAACCCTTTATTAGGTTCTGGAAACCTGAACAGAAGTTGTTTTGACATCTGAAATGTGAACAATTTCATGTATTGAAAAGCTTAGACAAAAATGTTCAGAGGTAATATTCTGCTTCCACTTCTTGTTTGTCTTTGCTTCAAATCTACCATCTCATAATTGGAGGACCATAGGGCTGGAACATACTTCCATCGCAGGTAAGCGTGTTAGTCCATGCATATCAAAACCATCATAGGACAGCACAAACTTCCTGAAGCACATGTGGTGTCCTCACAAACATTCACCATTCCATTATGTATTTGGGACTTCAACCACAAAGTGGTGCTGTTGCAAAAGCTAACGGTTAATGGGGAAAACCAGCTCCTTTTATAATGACCCAAGGCATGCATTAAACCCAACTAAGTTTTCCTCCATTTACATAGTCACATGCATTTCTTCTCTATAAATATTCCATTTTTAATATCAAAAGCAATGACAGTTGTATTTGTTAATATGTAGAGAAAAATACACATCTTCAAAATAGATAAAATGTTACACATATTGAAGTCAGAACAAAGTGCCAGATTAATCAGATCAATGTCTAATTATTCCAATCAAAGTCTCCAGAATTTAAAGATGATTTTTTTATAGTATGCTTTGAGCAGTATTTCAAATTGTTCAGGACAGAACAGAGACTTATTCAAAATAAATGCTTTTTTGTCATGTCAAAATGTCAGATCCAAGACTGACTCATAAAATAAGGTGACCATTTGGGAGCTCTATTGTTTCTCATCAAAAATTCAGAAACATATTTAAAGTGCTAAAAAAAAAAAAGATTCCATTTGCACTAAGGTTTAACATTAGAAATAAAACCTACCAGCCACAGAATAACAGAGACACAAAAATATCTAGGAAAAGCAAACAGCTTCAGAACAACAGAAATATCTTTAGAGGAAAGGCTGGAAAACTGCAAGGACCAAACATATCTCCCTTTTGAGTAGCTGCAAAAACACCTTGTCTACAATGCTTTTTACAGTGCAGACATATTTGGCAAGATTAAGGTGTCACATCTCAAATTACAAGTCAGGCTCAGACACAAGTACAGGGCAAAACCCTTCAACTTGTACAAACTGCCTGGCCCTGATAGATTTGCTTCCCATCAGAGGTAGGCAGCCCCTCTGCCTACGATATTTGCTTGTAGCCTACTTATTTTCCTTCTTGTTTTACTGGCCTAGCTGCAAATGCAAAGTTCCTGGGCTAGGGCTGCCTTCAGATGCTTAACCCTTTGCCTTCTTCTGGAGGAATATTCACTAGCCACAGGAAAGTTTTCCGTTCCTGGCACTGTTTGTCCACTTCAGGAGACTAAAACCTGTGGCACACTTTAGGCATTTCTCAGATCTGACTACAGTGCTGGGGGGGGGCATTGGATGGAAGAGAATGGGATTTGATTCCGATTCTCTCCTCTGAGCTGAAAAAGCTCCAAAAAGGACAGAAGCAGCATTCAGCCAAATGATTGAAGACAATAAGGTTCTAGAGTTATTCAGGTTTCAGTGCTTTTTTTGATTGGCAAAGCAGCAAGTTTTAGTACAGAGTTCTTAGAAGTCAATAGTGGAAGATGACTCTTTCATTCTCCATTTGGCCAGTTGGAGGGAATAAGTGTCTCAGAGATGAATGAGACATACAATTTGTACAGTTCAGAGCTCCCTAAATAAGATTATTTTATGGTTGGAAAAAAAGTCATATAAAGGACAATCACAACAAATGACACCGACCGTATTTTAATCTGCAGTGGAAAATATTCCAATAAAACTGTGATAACTATCTAGGTGGATTAAAATGTCTCAAAGAAGATGGTACAACACTTTGACAGCATGAGAGGGCTGATCATCCTTACAGGGAGAGCAAAGAGTAAAGATTCCTTGGTTAAATAACAAAAGAAAAAACTTCATGAGCTACTCAAGGAAATGTTCTTAAGGAAACATTCTGGTGACTCTTAAGATTTGGAGTTTTGGAGTGCTGTATTGTATCTTATATGAACACGTTCTTATGACTTGCTCGATTATGCTTGAATCAAATAGAAAAGAAAGATGACTTAAGCATGTAAATTTAGAGGGAGACTTAGAGGCATGCAGCTAAATTTATCAGCCATCTCTGTAAGCGATCACTCTAAATAAAAAGTTGGGAAACCAGTCGCTGCTGGTTGCTGATGAAGTTTCCATGTTTCTGGCATTCACCATCTTTTATTTAATGGACTAATCTGCAAATCGAAACAGGAGGAATATCTGGAAACAACTCCATCGTAAGGTCTGTTCTTAACAGTGGATATTTTTCCCAACACTTATTTTGCTTCATGGGGGGGGAGACATGATTGACAGAAATGCTGAGCAAAAAAATAAACTTGTCTCAGATTTTTTAGTAATTAAAAAGAAAAAGTTTTTAAAAAAAAGAGCCAGAGGGAGAGAGCAGAAGCTTATGGCATTCTGGTTCTGTGTCTCTGTTTCACCTGTTTTACATGTCCTATAATGACTTCTGAATATGTGTAAGAATAGCAACACATGCTGGCAGTTTGACCAAAGGGTGTGCGTGTGCATGTGTGTGAGTGTGCATGCGGGAGACAGAGAGAGTAGGGGGGGAAGGGTGGGGAGACTCGATGGTCCATTAGAGTGCAAACACAGAGACATTCCTGCAATAAAATCCTTGTCTTCTGAGAATCGCAGTCTGGAAGAGATGGTTATGATTTAACAAAAGAATTCTCTAAAATGTTCCCCGGTGCTAATGCTGTTCTTAATAATATGAAAAGGTTTTGCCAGGAAGAGGAATAAAACCGTCGATTTAATTAAAAAAAAAAATAGGCACGTGATGGTTTTTTAGAGCACGCAGGGGAAAATATTACCTTTATGACAGTTATGTCATTTTCAAAAAAATGCCTTATTCTCTGAAATTCCACAACCAGACAAGGTTATTATAAATGGTAGGTAAGGAAAGCAGAGCATGGCAATAAAGGGGTTAATCTGCAAAGCACAGAGCCATCTGGCTGAGCTGGTTTGTTATAATCGAGCAGATTATGTTCACGGGACTCAGAGTTTAAGGCTCCTCTCCCATAGAGCAACTCTGCACAACCCAAGCAGACCAACTTTGGGACTTTGAATGAACATATTTACATCCACCTTTCTCTTCATGTCGACTTTTCTGGAAACATTCACACGGATGCCATGGTTACTCCTACCACGGTAAGGGAAATTTGACGTTTTCTAATAGGGTCCTAAGAGGGCGGGGAGGGGAGGGGGGGGAGAGGGGTCCTTTAAAGAAGTATAATGGGGAAGAGGGGGGTTCTTGTAAGCAGTAGATCTGTCCCAAATGTTGCCTTTCCCATTATGCCTCCTCCTTCCCCCACCCCTACTTGCCCTATAGCTTGCTTTAGTCCTGAGGTTCCTCTTTCCTCCTGCTCTGCACACAGTTGTTCGGGTCCCTGGCAAGAAAACAGCAGAGAAGAAATATGAGGTGTGAAAGGAATCTGATTTAAGAGGCAAAAGCAAAGGAGACTCTTGGTTTTATTTTAAGAGGGAAACCAGCAACTGCAGGTATAACAAAAGGGGTTGGAAATCTTGATCGTGGATTGCAAGGATCAGCCTCAGCACATGTAGCATGCTTGCCCTAAGGGAAAGTTAGAGCCCATGACAAGCAAAGTCAAAATTCCGAATTTCTAGACCTTGCCTGTCTCAGGTAAATAACTTCACCGGAGCTTTCTTTTTTGTTTGTGCCAGACACTGGAAACCCTATTAATGACCTTTGAATTAATCCCCATTCTCCTCAAACCCAAACATTAAATTCTCTGGGAGAAACTGGAGATCAAAGGATTGCCTGCACATCTGTGTCTAGGTGAAAAAGATACACTCACTCTGTGCTAGGATGGCAGGAAAACTATTCTTACGCTGCAATTTCCTTCTAGGAATGGAGCACACAACTAATCAACATAAACGCACATATAGAGAGCAAAATAGAAAGCTGTTTCTCATCTAAACAGCTGAAATGCAGCTTAAAGCGTCAGTTACTGGCGAGTCCTTATGGAGACACCAAACTGCTATTAGCAAGAGGGGGAAAAGTCCTTGAATGGTTTAGATAGCTTTCTGATCAGTTCTTAATCCTTCATTAAAATAAATGGCAAAGCTCTGTGTTGGTCCTATCTCTTGAACTATAAATATGCAGTATCCGGAGAGATGGATATTTTGGATTGAATAGGGCTGCTATGTGCACATTCTCTGGTTCCTATATTGCAAAACCAGTTATTTAGAGATGACTCTGTGTGTGTGAGAGGGGTTGCTTCCCTCCCCCCAATTTTAAATAGACAGGGATGCATGCTATATGGTCCAGTCAAGTGTTACAAGCTACAGCCTTTCAGAAAGCACTCTTTGCTCTTAGGCACATGTGATTTGTTGCACGAAGAGTGCAAATGGTATGTAAAGTTTGCTTTTACATTGCGCCTTCAGGAAAATACTCAGACAAATAGGAGAGACATTCTTGGGCACAGAGATATACCTGATCTGTGCAAACCTGTAAGTGGAGGAGAGGCTTAAGAAACACCTATAAATGAGATGTAGCGAAAAAGAAAAACTAATAATAAAAAGAGAAAAAAATCACTTTGTGGCAAGGCAAACAAAAGCAGTAGAGAACAGGAGAGAGTTCAGCATGGTTCCAGCTGCTAGTAGTAAAAAGATTGGTCTTAGATACACGTGTCAGTACCAGGAGCTCTGTGTGTGAGCATAGAGAGGGGAGAAAAACTAGATGTGATTGCAGGTGGTAGACATAAAATATGCAGAGAAAAGAGGATGTACCAGAGAGCCAGAAGGGGAGTGCTTTTGTGTAGAAGGGTGCTATAATTTGGGACATGCAATACACATAGGTTTAGGATTTCTTTTTTTTTGTCTTTTTCACCATGGAAAGAAGAACTAAATGCTACTAGAAATACAGATATAAGGAGTCTGGGGGGAAAGTGTTATGTACTGAAAATAAACTGCTATGTATTGAGTATTGTGTATTGGGTTAATTAGGACAGATGAGCCATACAAAGGTGGTCAGCTAAAAAGGGGAACTGCTGCAGGTCAACTGGAAAAAGAGGATCTTTGTGGGTGGAAAAAAGTTTAGGATCTCAGAAGGGGAAGTAACACTTGAAAGGGATGGGAAAAGGTGCAGACTGGAGGCTGCATGATGATATGAAAGGGATATACAAAGATGCTAGGGTGTGCAAGGGGGAGGCAGGATATGGAGTGGCAGTGGAGGGAGAAAGGTGAAAGCACAGGGCACAAAGGATGTTTGGAGGAGGAAGAAAAATGTGAACTATTGTCTATTTGAAGAAAGGTATGGAAAATAATCAGCTACATGATGCTTGTGGGGGGCATCTAAAGGAGACACCTTTGATTCTGCCAAGAAATAGCTATGAGGATGTATTTGCAAGGAAGGTGTGAAGAGTATGAAAAGCAAGGCTTGCATGGTGATAGAAACACATGCTGAAAAGAGGAATGCAGAGGAAAAAGCTGAGCTGGATGGAGATAGGGTGTGGTGATGGGAAAGGGTATAGGGACCTATAAGGGTATGTAAAGGGGTAGTTGCTTAGAGAAATTTCAGAGGAGGTTGGAAGCCTGCTGGAGTGTGCTGCCTGGTTGCAAGACAGAGACAGAACTGAGGAAAAAGCCATGTGAAGGTGCTGTGAGGAAATGCAAGATAGTAGAAACCACGGGGGCAGGGTAAACTGTGACAGGAATATAAAGATGTAGCAGGTCTTGAGAAGCATGAGAATGGGGAAAAAATCAGGAATGTAGGAGGCATAAGAATGAAATTAAGAGTTAGGTTTTCTGTAAAGATGCCTCGGCATCCAAAGGAGGTATAAGCAAGACAGCACAGGATGAGAGGAAATTTAGGGGTTTATTTCTTCATAGGTAAACAGAGAAAATAATGCAAATATGCAGGAGTGCCTTGGCCAGCAGAAACAGAGGATGCCTCTTTGCCAGGTAGTTGAGATAACATGAGAAGAACTGGTAATATGTTATAGGGGAAGCAGTTGAGGAAAATAATGTAAAGTAAGGAATAATGTGAGGGGTGTAGGAGGAGGAGAATGCATACACAAACAAAAAGGAGTGATTTTCTGTTAAGAGAGGTGTAAGAAATGTGCTTATATCTCTGTGGTAGGTACTGACTAAGTGAAGCAGCAAGAGGGAATGGAATAAATGTGTTAGCGGAGAAATGACTAGAGATATAAAGGGTGAGAAGAGAAGGAATGGGAGGGATAACTACCTGGAGGGCCCTATAAGCCACATGGCTGTACTAAGGTCAAAAGTAAAGTGTGAAGTGTGCGGAGAGGTAAGGGGAGTTAGGAGCTGTAGGGCATGAAGTGGAAGTGAATGGGAATGACAGTTCATGTTACAAGGGGTGAGAAACTTAGTGTAGGTTGTCACATAATAGTGTGTAAGCAAGGAAAGTACCTGCTAGTTTGTGCCTGCTTGTAAGGGCTGTGGAAGGGAAGGTGAAAGGAGTGAAAAGCTGTGCCTGATAAGGGAGATTTGTGCATGAAGCATGCTCTAAGTAAATGAGGGAAGTAGAGGAAAGGATTGCAGACCTGGGTGTGGGGCCTGGGAGAAGGGAAACAGCTCATGGGGGAGGGAAGAGTGATGAGGAGTGAGAAAAAGTTTATGACGGCTTAAGCCATCTGTAGTTATCTGCCTCTTAATTTAAGGGAGGCTGCCTAAGTGTGCAAGGGTCTGTACATGTATGCATAGCAGCATAAGAGCAGGTTGGGAGTTAAGTGTAAGGGAGAGCAAGTAGGGGACACAGGTAAATGCATGTAGTCAGTGACAATAGCTGCTGGGTTTGTGTGCTGGCTGGACAGATTTGTTCAGTGAGTGTTGTGCTTATGTGACTGGCAGAGTTGTAGAGGCAGGCATGTGATGATAATGATCCAGTGGGTCTGCAGGAAGAAGCTGAAATCCTTGAGGGGAAAGTAAGAGTCCCAGATTGCCATAAGGGACATATGTCTGTGTGGAAGTTACAAAAATGCACCCATGAAGATGGCTACGGGAGGCCAGCAGGAGAATCACGTGTCCACTGCATTTGTGGCACAACTCTCCGTGTTGAAATGAGTTATGTAAGACACAAAACAGAGGTGAGTTTCGTGAGGACTAAGAAGCAATGTTTGCATTGAGAAGGAGGGTAGGGAAAGATGACTAACTGAGAAAATGGTTTGGTGCGTGGGTAGCAATAGGACTAAACGTGCCCTCGATGTGCTTCCCTTCTTTGTGATGTGTGCAGCAGGCAGGCTCTCCTTTAGAGATTTTACAGACTTTTTTCTAAAGAATGACTGAATAATCCTGAACAAAACCCCAGGATGTCTAACTAAAATATTTATACCAGCTTCGTTTGGAGGCATATCAATGAGTCTTATTTTCATGCCTTCAAACTTCACTATACTACTGCAGGTGCAAAATGGCAGAGATATTTCTGTAGGGCCAGTTACCAGGGCTGTTGGATGAACAACCATAGGATAGAAGTACACATAGGGAGTACAGATATCTATCAAAGGAAACAAGAAAGAGCTAGCTTTCTGCATGGCTTGAAGCAGTGCTGGAGTAATGTGCAGCTGGCTGAAGGTTAAATGCATAGGACACATTAAGGGTGTGAGAAACACTGAGAATGTCTTTCCCTTCAAAACAATCACATATATTGACATCTGCTCTTCTAATCTGCTCTACCAATATCTTCAAATTGTCTGGCTTGCCTAGGGGTTTGGTGACATTTTAAGCACTGTCCTACACTGGGTAGGAAAATGTTTGTGTACATCTATAGCTAATAAGAAGATTGTGAGCAATTCTGCGAGACTTGCAGTGGGAGAAGACAGTCTGATCACACTGAACCTTTAGGCTTGAAGGCTGAAGCCTCTGGGCCCATACTTTACATACCATCACTCACATAAAAGTTCATGGATCCCAATCTGATTTATTCCATGGATCAATCCCCACCAAAAAAAAAAAGAGAAAAAAAATAAGTACTCAGTAAAATACTTAGCTAGTAGGCAGTTAATACAACCATGGTCTGTGTTGTGATACTTTATATGATTATTTCCCACTAAGGAGTCCAATTCAAGCTCCCCAGCAAAATAATATTTCCTGGTGGTGCTTGGAGCTGGCTGTGGTCAGTGGAAAGCCCCTTTCTCCTGTGGTGGCAGTGAACTTCCCACAGGTGG